GTAAAACATCTTGTCATTAACTTAATAATTATCATGTTTTTTCGACAGGTAATATTGCAATAAACATGTGCTAGTACTATAATTTGTAAAAAAAACATATATACTATAAATTACATTAACAAATATTTTGATTTATTTATATACTTTTTATTGTAATGCTAATAAACTAATATCATGACTGTAACCGCGTAAGTCCAATCAACTATTTAGTAAAATATATAAAAATTTTACATCTATAACAATACAATTAATTACCAAATATTTATTGTTATTTATAAAATTACGTAAAGTGCAAGTAGTATAGAATAATAACTCATTATATCATATTATAAAATAATCATTGTCCACTTGATTATAAATTTAGTAGATATATATAATATGTATACATGTATATTAAAATATAACCTAGATTTTAATATTACCTCAATAAGTCAACAAGTTGTCTGTTGTCACATTCAATCTGTCTAGGTTAAGTGGAAAATAAATTACTATATTTTCAGCTTGCGTGCAAGTATTTTGTCTACAAAGAGTTCGTGATGGGACCACTATGACCCCGTGCAACATGAATTTGGGTCATATCAAAGGAAATATGAATACTTAACCGTGGGATGTGAACAATTCGTTATGTAGGTATGTAGGTATGTAATAAATAATGATGAATAATTATTTTAGATCGTTCAAAATCGTCACAATATAATTATGTTTACTCTAGTGCATAAATGCGCCATATATTTTAGAACAACTAAGTATGCATTTACATAATTATATTATTATACTTTAATTTTTTGAAAAAACTATAAGTATCTTGCTTATGCTTTGAATCTAGACCAATATTTAAAAAGATATCATCCGTTTCGATCTAGCATAAAATTAACTTGAGTAACTTTTTATGGGTAGATAAACAGTAATTAGATAAAATATGAGTAGTATCAAATAAAAACTATTGTGCGTATTCATACATCCATGATTATAGCTTGTAGGTAACAATATCATGGCAAATGGTCTTTGATCATGGATATATGAATATACAGTATATCAGTATACACTCATACATTTATTTTAATACAAGGTATAAAAAACTAAATTTGTATTTCATATTTATTGAAATGTTTTGACACTGATTAGAATTCCAATGTGATTGAACGATCTCGATGACTGGCCACTGCAGATTGTCACGAACGCAACTATACACGTTGATACTATGATAGCTGATATTATAAAAACTAGTAAGTATAAGATAGGTTTATATATATATATTTGACCTATCACCCGTTTCAACTAACGTTATAGGCACTAACATTTTTTTTCCTCTCACGAATATTAGAATTCAATCGTGCGTCTACAAAAAAAAACTATATACGTAAATTACAATTTTGATGATAAATAACAATACCAGATATAGAAAGAAAAAAAACGAAATCAAAGAAAATGGTTTAAACTGTCACTGCTATGACTTCAATTGTTACTTTTTTACATACGTTTCATATATTCTCATATTTTACCAGAAATATGGCATTTACAGTATGAAAAAAACATATTCAATCTAACGTAATTCATAATAAACGCATATTAAAATTTTTTAAACACAGTAAACTTGCCCCGGCACGTCCAAACAAAATATTTTAAAAATTAAGTGTATAAAAAAAATGTCATGCCTTTTTAAGATTATAGAACAATTATTATTTGCTAAATCTAACCATAACAATGTAAAAATAATAATAAATAATTTTTAAAACACTTTGTTTTTAAAAAATTTTGTTACACTGAAATTTTAATCCTGTTATTCACAGTAAAAAAAATATTAAAAATATTTTTTTATTAATTCAATCACAGTCCTTACTATAGGACAAAAAAATTAATTCTATTTGAAATATGAAACTTGTATGCTTTTTATATGATACGTATAGTGTGACCGTTATTGTTATGTCAAAAAGGGAGACACTTTCTAAAAAAATATAAGAATATTACCGATAAAACTATTGTATAAAATTATAAAAAGCTTAAATTAATTTTACTTCTATACCTATGTGGCCATGTATGATATTAATGTTTGAGAGAAAAAATAATATTTGAAAAATACTTTTTTGTAAAACATATTATATACATAACACATACTCATAATATGTGTAAATACAATATAAATAAATTATCAACATTTTTAATTCTAATTGATTATTGAATAATGACAGTTTCCAAAATGCCTGAATGGTGTATATTTTGTAATTAAAACTGTAATAAAATATTTATTTTTATCAAAAAATAAAATTATAAAAATGTATAATATTTTTAATTGTTATAAATACAGGGAAAAATGACACTAAAAAGGACGAAGCTGATCTCAAAATTGGGACAATCCCCATTCCCCATTAATATGAGATGTGTAAACACAATATTATACAATTAATTACTTTATTAGAACTATGGAGTTCTTAGATTCTAATAAATCTATTATTTTTTTTAAGCTATTCAAGTTCTATAGAAACACAATAATATGCTTAATACATTATATAGATATTACGCTTAACTAATAATTCAATTATTAATTAAAAATTATGTTACTGTTTTGAAATGCAGATAAAATTATCATGTACTCAACAATTATTGTATTACTTAACAAATTAATAAATTCTAATGTTGCTGTATTTATTTTTTTTTAAAGTTTATTAAAACTATTATGGTTTAGTTCTGATTCAAAATCTAAAAAAAAAAATAAGCTATTTAGTACTGCATATAAGCATTAATAACCGCGTATAAAACTAACATGGCACATAAATTGTTTACTGTAACAATGTATCTGTTGAGATGAAGGTTTATTTTTTCCATGCGATATAATTTTTTAAATGTTTGTAAGTCGGACATTAATTTAGATGTAAAAAACAATACTTACCATTGCGTTGAGACTTTTTTTAACCACTGCGAATTAAACGTGATAATTTGAAAAAATGCCTACACCTAGTTCCATAAAAGAAATCTTCAGGAAATTACATAATATGTTTGTTATGCTTTGTATAATACAATGACCTTTTCTTTTTTTTCATTTTTATTTTTCTATTATTAATCGGTAATCCTACTAGAAGTTATAGAAAAACAAACAAATTATTAGATAATATTTATTATATTCCAGGAACTTATATACCTAGCATGTAATAATTAATTTACTTTGGTTTCCCAGTGAACTTGATTACCAAAATGTATTTATTTTTTTTACTTCCTCAATTTTTTCCACTCTAAATTTTTAACATGTATCTATATACACATACAATGATGCTGAATTCTTGTATCAGGTACATGCAGTCGCGGTCCAACGGATTCGAACGTGCGTGCAGGATTCTTACAAATGTTCCCGTAGATGAAATTATTTTTTCGATGGTGATTCCAAAACGCTGTTAGGTATAATAAATGTATGTATGTGTATGTACTATGTATGTACACATGAACAACGCCCAGCTACATGGCTGAAGGAGTTTGATCACTCTGAGATCATGTAAGTTGCAGACAACGTCCACCACAAGTTGATTGCGTTAATGATTGCCGCGGCCTTGCGGTGGATACCATACGCTGTTATTTACATCCAGTAAAATTATTTCCTATCCGAACGAGAAAAGAGTGCAATCTCATCAAGACGTAGAGCTTAATACTGGCAATGGATAAAATAATAAATAATACACTGTTGTGAGTCAAAATAATGTAATTTGAAATATGTTAAGTATTTCTTTCGAGCTAAAACAATTTATAAATATCACTTATTTTTGAATTTTCTTTAACTATTTTTAAATAAAATTATGTTAATTGATTTAATCAAATTATTTTATAAACGTCTGTATTTATAGATATTTCTTCCCACAATATTTCGATGCATATCAAAACTGACATTAAATAAATAAGATTATTATATAAATAAATGTAAATAAAAAAAAATGTTATATTGTAAAAAAAAATAATAAAGATTTTTCTTTGCTATTATTATCCATTGTCAGCTAACGGTATATTTATTTCTTATCTAACTATAATTACACAAAGTATATAATGTCTATTAGATTGTTAAATACTTATATTCTCACAGCCATACTGGGTTTTTTTCAACACAGCAACTACACACCTTGCGTAAAATGTATAATTAATACATATAGAAGTATATTCTAGGTTTTATTAATTCAACTTTGAGCAGAACAAAAAAAATGTTGGCTTTTATTTAAGTATAATAATTTATATGAATTTTCAATTTTCTATACTATACATAGACATTAGACATAGTACATAATTAATTGAACGCTTTCGTGCATTAAATATGTAAAGGTGACCGATCAAAATCTCCATAAAATATCCTGAAAAAAGTCACTGAATGTCCTTAGGTAGGTATACTTGAGATTATTGCCAATTCTACAAAAAATAATTTATACTATCGCTAAGAATGACATTTATTCTCATTGACATATAAAAGTTAACGCGATCCGACCCAAAAATAATGAGTTTGTTTACGTAGGTATATAATAATGTTATGTTTTTAAATTATAAATACATAATATATAAATTACTGTTCATTTCATATATTACTACTTATTACTTATGATAAACTCATTATACAGTTCTACATTTATACATTAATTTTAATTTATATTTTTTAGTTTTCCACTGATATTAAATCATCATATAAATTGAATAAAATATGAAATTAAAAATGTTTGAACTATTTTATTTTAAATTTTGATTCTATGTTATGTATGGACAAATTTTTATTTTTAGTGACCAACAAAAAAAAAAAAAAATTGGTAATTGCTAACTAATACTCATACTAATACAACAGTATACATTAATACATCATCATAACCTTAAATTATATACAGATTATAAATTAAGAAACTTGCAGTCAATATATACAATAATCCATTAATACTACATTAAAATAATAAAAAAAATAATTTTACAATCGTTATATATAAATAATTAAAATACAATTAATTAATTAAAATAACAAGTAATCAAATTGTTAAAATATTATTCTAAGTTGCACGTTCTATTTTCGTAGTAACTATATGATTTGTAAATAAAAATCGCTTAACTTTTTTAAATATATATACTGATAACACAAGTATTGAAAAATATTGTATCCACGCCCACTTCATTACTTGCCAAAACTTTGGTTTGTATAAAATTTCTACAAAATCGTAGTTTATTTTAGTTTTAATCAGAAATGGCTGTTTATAAGGACGACCTCTTGTCCACTTTACTAAAACGTTATCCAATTTAGTAGAAACTAAAAATATAGTAAACATACATAGATGTATATATTAAATCTTTTATATAATTATTAAATTTAAATAACTTACGAATCCGTTTTGAGTACTCCTCATATATATTAACCAGCCAGTCAGGAGATCCAAATAAAAATATAGGTCTATTTATACGAATAGGTTTCCTCGGCGTACATTCTAAAGGTGTTTTTTGTGTCAAGTGTAAATCGCCAAATACGTCCAGTCTACCACCTGGTAATCCAGAACTGTGAGTAATTACTGCCATGGATTCCATTTCAAGTAAACACAAATCCTATTGAAAACAGATTAGTCATTACTCACCAGAATTAAACATTTCAAAATAATGTGTCAACATTAAATTTGAATTTACTTGTATTTTGAAATCAAATATTAGCAATAAAGTTATAGAATATACATCTAATGTTTCATTCATAGTCAAATATAACTCTAAATCCAAAAATTCTTTTTTCCCATCAATGTTAATGTCTTCTTCTATAACCTAACGAAATTTTGTTAATGATTTAGGTATTTAATTTAGTGATTAAAAGATATATGAAATATTACAACAGGCATACCTTGATGGTAGAACAAAAACCCGTAGTTTTTAACGTCTGCGGAAAATTACCGCAAATCAACGGAGACATGGGATCAGACGTTTCAGCATACAACAAATACTGCAACTTAAATTGTACCATAGGCTGTTCTCTGTATTTCTCGTACTTAATCCATAGTCCTGAAAATAGTATTACAAAATAATATCCTCTTACGATGATTAGATTAAAAATATTATTCAATCTACCACTGCTTCGATAACAAAATAACAACGGCAAAATAAAAGTTAATAACGTTATGACAACATATAAAATAAATGCCTTAGAACAAACAGAAGCTTTGTACTTGACTCCAAGTGATCTACTATAAACTACGTGCACCGACATGATTTCATATTTATGTTGGCTCTTTGTATAATATTTTACGCCGCCGAAAAACGTCAGGTTTGTTTTGTTGATAGTTCCCATAGTAACAGTCTCGCCCTTGCAAGAATAAGGTGTATATTACCTCATATACAGCTGATGATTTACTCCATTTGATTTTTATAGTTTCAATTTTAAAAAGGGGTAGATACAATACTACATCATTTTAATTGTAATAAACGTGTACAAGTTTATCCTTAAAGTGTCGACGCTAATTCTTTTAGCCCAGTTTTTATGATATTCAATATTCACTTTTTTTTTCGATAATTTATAATATCTTTAAGTAAGGCTCGAAAGTTTTAAAAACTGTAAATAAACTTATATAAATTAAACAATGAAAAGTTTAAAAATCGAATATTTAAAATACTTATTTCGTCAATTTTTGTGCAAAAATTTTATATTTTATATTTTATAGAAAAATTAATGTTTTTTAGACGACTTCCGTATTTTAATATTTAATATTCAATTTTATTAAATTTATACCGATAACATTTTTTTAACTTAATAATTAATATCATCAACCGTCAATTGTTCTCCATGCATCAGATTTTTCTTAATTTATTTATTTAACAAAACAATTTTTAATATATAATAATATATTAACAATATAACAATGTTAATAAATAATTTATTATCAAAAAAATGTATATATTTTATTTAAAATTATGAAAAAATTACTATTCATATTTTAGTAAATAAATACATTGTCTTACTATCTTTATTTTTTGTGTATTTTAAATTTTATATATATATTTTTTTTATGTATATGTATATCAATCACTATTTTTATTTTATATACATATATAATAGGAAGTATTTGAAAAATATTGAGTGGAAATTTTCGAATTCTATCGAATGTCCCTGTATTGTATATATAATATATATACCCGAATTTTTTTAGGAAAAAATAAATACTTATTAAAAAATACGACGTTTATTGTATTGTGGTTAGAGTATATCTTAAATCCAATCGACAGTCGTCAGTTAATATCAGTGTACGTCACTTTGTGGACCATTTCGACTAATATGACTCTCTCCGAGACCCAACGACTATTAATATTAATTTTAATGAAATTGGGCCAACAATTTAGAAAATTAATTGTTGCCAATAAAACTCAATAATTTACGAGTATTTAGTTGGATTAGAATTACGTCTACGCATCACATTTGATTTCACTCTCTGACCAACGTGCTATATAGCAAATTTGCATTCAGTAGATCTTGCTTGGTGTTGTTAGTTTTAATATTAGAGTAAATTAAACTCAAAGTAGTATTATTATTTTCCCTAACCTTAAAATATCAATGATAAATAGAAAATTATCAACAACTGTAGATTATATTTTTACTTTCAAGCTTGATATTAGGTCAATTCACTCTAATATTAAATCGAACACAACAAAATTTGATCTGCTGAACGCGAATTTGTTGCGTACGGGTCTGACAGAGAAAACAAATAGTACACTGACTTTCTTTTAAATTTAATAAAATTATATCATTTATCTATTAGCATACCTAATATATACTGTTATTTACTTGTAAGTCATCACTGACCTACCGTAAATGGTGCAAATAGTTTAATTGTATAAATACAAAATGATTTATTTAACGTTATACACTTATTATTTCAATAATCAATAACGCTTTTAAAAATATTTCTTTTGCCTAATTTTAAGTTATATATTTAGTTTTATATCATATTTTTCTGAAAAGACTATGACCTAAGGTAAATGGAATAGTAGATAGGTACTTATTATTTATACACCAACATACTTCGTATCAGCTGTAATAAAAATATTATTTGACTGATTTTTTGTGTAAATGTATTTTAAAAATTACAAATTATACTTAATGACATAATTTTAAAGGTAATAAAGTTTTAAAATCAGGATAACTATTTAAGTATGATGCCAAATTATTATATCTCTCAATACGAGTTTGATTGTATCTTTCCATTTTCAACACTAATGCATTAAGTTCGTTTTTCAACAACGAGCACAATATTAACGTTTTATTTTTGAGTTCAACCTCTGTGAAACGGTCGGTTTCTAATGCTTTCATCGTGGACTGCAACTTGAATTTTTTCTGTAAAAAGCACACAAATAAATTATTTAAAGTTTTTTCCTTAAGTAATTTTCATTCAAATACTCAATCATACCGTTATAAATAATTTTTTAGTTCGTAAAAATTGTTTTTTAGTATTTTGTCTAAAATTTTGTATGATTTTTTCACGAACATTAAAAGCATTCATATCTTGTGTAAAATACCTTTGAATGATTACACAATATGGTAAAGAGTTATCAGTGTTTGTTTTTTTATCTCGTTTAGAAAGAGCGAGTTTTTTATCTTTCTAAAAACAACAAATTATTTTTGTACTTTTCACGTGTACAATTTTAATTTATAAAAATAAAATTACTTCGTTTTGGAGTAATTTTCTGATTTTATGATTTCTATCCCAATCCAATGAATCAATCTGTAACTTAAACTCTGTTCGTTCTCGACTTCGTATTCCTAATATTTTTATAATATCATCCTCTAGTTTTGATACGTTATGTAGTGCTTCTTTTTCGGCTTCAATCAAATCTCGTAACATAACATACGCTTCATGAGTTTTTAAATGACCCTCATATGGATAAACAATATCTTCAATAACAGATTTAGGATCAAAATCTTCTTTTCTTATAGAAGTGGGCTTTTGAAATAATCTACTTGACTGGGTTATTTGTCCTTCACCATATTGATATTGAACATAAATACTATTAAATTCAAGATTGAAACTTATAGTTGCAATATCTCGATCTTTATGTTTTGATTTATCTCTCAAATATTTTTCAACGATACTCTGTAATACAATGTATAAATAAGTAATAACACATTAAACAATATCAATTACTTATTTAAACTAAATATATGTATCAACGCATCAAAAATTGGTCAATTAAGTTTTTTTATTTTTATTGGATATTAAAATAAATCAATTTAAACTTTTATTTTTGATTTTCGTAAGTTATCAACAATAAAATTTTATTATAATACATTACCATCTTGAGTTATTAAAACAATTTGAAATTCAATTTAAAACGATCAATATACAACTCAATTATATAAATAAACATAAATTTATATATATATATATTTTTTTTTAACAGATAATATAGACATTTGATAATACTAAAGAGTTTTTTTTATATTTTAAGTATAAAAAGTCGTAGTTTTCCTTAACTCCTTTAAAAATAAGCACCACTTCTAGCTGTTATGCAGTTATATTATATTAGATCGTTGAAGTTTGAAACAAAATAAAAATAAATGTATAACGTGCAATTAAATAGATTTTAAGCCACGGTTATATTTTTATATTCTAAGAAATAATGCATCAATATTATTTGTCATACAAACGATAATTTCAAAAATAATCAATATTTACCATAGATTTCCTTTTGATGTTTAAATTTTGATAATTATTATTTTCTGTTTTTTGAAATATACACTTACGCCAAAATAATAAATCCGGTCTAAAAAAATAAATAAATTACATTAATTTAAAATACCTAGATAAAAACATAAGTACTATAAAAACAGAAAGTATACAATATATTAAATTATAAACATGTAACAGTTGTAACTTATGAAAAAAAATTTTTACTTAACGTATATACAATATATAAAATATTATTGTTCGAGTAAGTACTTAAAGATGCAATTTATTATTTAAGAGTACACAACATAATAATATAATATATACTGACCTCTCATTAAACGTAGTTATGAAACTATTTTCATCAATTTGTAATTCAGCCATTGAATCAAGTCTCAAATTATAAAACGTAACAAAATGTTTGTTCTGTATATTGTTACAATTGCCATAAAACTTATGTGCTATAAAATCATTAAAAATATAATTTAAATGATTGTTTATATTTTTTAAAACAGTATTTACTTTTTAAAAAGTCATCCCGGCCGCTTTCAAAATATTCTACAGTTTCTTTTTCTTTAGTGGTATATTTTGTTTCAACTCTGATTAATTTGTCTATTCTATATTTATATATTTCCGTAACAAATGTTGTATTAACGTAATCAGAATTAGTGAAGAATGAGGTTTTTTCAATCAATCCATCAGGCATGATGTAATCAGAATAAAACTCTTTGATTGCATTCATATATGTCACAACTTTTTTACCGCTTGGATATAGCATGAGATATTCTAAAAAATATACATTTTAATTTAAAAAATAATTTGTGATTTTTAATCACCAAATGCATACTGTTCCTAGGAACTTGTAAAACGTTAACCCACGAGTTAGGCATCACAAGATGATTGAATGATGTATTTTCATTATGTTTAAAATCTAATGTTCCCCCCTGTAAACTATGATGTTCATCTGGTAAAAAATGTTCCCAACACTTCGTATTCGTCAAAGTAAAATTATACTGCTGTATAAATTACAAAATAAATTTTAAATTATCATAAAAATTATTTTTATTTATTAAATATTATCATCTACTCGTAAAATAGTCAATAATACACACCGTACAACCTCCATTCAATGATTGTAAATTAACCCAATAATTTCTATTATTCCAAATCGCTTCTATTCCAATATAATTCTCATTAGAAACTTCTTTCCGCTCACCAGTACTAGGTTCAATAAAAAATGGAATTTCGTTCATATTTTCGTCCTCATTTTTCAATGGTATAACTATGACCCAAGCATGCACTCGTTTCTCAAATAATGGATCAGATGAATAATTAAAGTCAACCTAATATTTCATGTTTATTAAATACAATTAAAATAAATTAAAATAATCACAAATTTTTCAAATACAATATTCATATACATATATGCAGAGACGTATTTACAATTTTGGCGCTCGTTTCCCCTACAAAAAAAAATTATCGGGGAGGGGGTCGATCAATTTTTACACATTGGTGGTTTACCTATTTACCTAAAAAAAAAAAGAATTATCAGATAAAAAAAGCTTAGCTCAATAATATTCGCCAACATCTAAATACGTTCTGTATATACTGTATATATATGTACTATGTAAATTTACCTCTTTTACTTCATCTTTGACCATCATTTTTTTTTTTTCTTCTTCTATTAGAAACTTAATATACTCACTGCACAAATCATTCTTAGGTTTTAAAAAATGCGCATCATCAAAATCTTCCGTAATATTTTCTGAATCTGACTTATGTTTATCCTTTAACCATTAATATCAATGTAAAAATTAATTTTGTAATGAATATTGTAATACATACATATTCTTCCCAGTCTAACTTGACTTTTCTTAGATCATTATTGCACACGATTTTTGAGGCATAACCGTACACAACAAAAGCATTGTATTCACAACCAATTAAAAAAGATACTAATAGTATCGCCATTTCAAAACAGTTGGCAGTTTGCATTTCTAATGTTGTTGTAGGAGACATGATTTTGTTAGGCTGAAAATGTATGTTATATTTTTCTAGAGTATGAGGTATTCATTATTATTTATTAACTTTGAGTTTTAGTTTTCTGTGTGAACTTAATTTTTTTAGTTTTAATTCAGCAGTTGATGTTTTATAGCTTAGCTATAAAGTATTAACTGCTGAAATAAAATTAAATACGAAATATAATTAAGAATACTATTATAATAATGTTAACATAAAAAAAAAACTGAAAACTAAAAATGCTAATCATATTTTTGTTTTAAATATAATATATCATGTAACATATTATATTAAACATTTAAACAACGTTGAATTTAAATATACGTTTTTCGTAAAAAATATATAGTTTAGATATTATTAGTATTTACAATACGTAAATATATTATCATACCACAGCCAAGGGATCTTCCAACTTGATATATGTTATATGTTTAGCAACAAATTCACTGTAACTGATCAAATCTTTCAGATTGGGATAAACTAATCTAGATGGTTTGATTGTAGTGCAAACACATTTCTAAAAAATATAAAATATTTTATACGAATATACGATATGATATAATAAGCTATTACTGTCCTATATTTATATTTGTACTACATTTATTAAGTATTATTTATTGTGTTATACTTGGTATTAATTTTTACCCGAGACAGGGTTCGACCATAATATGTGGTAATTATTATTAATTCGATGGCGTAACAATATATTTAAATTTATTGAATATTTAAAAAACTACTTATGTGAATATGAACATTCACGTACGTACAAATTTACAATATATTTCGTATTTTCGTCACTTCTCATTTTGGCAACATTAGGTCTGTGCGGTTATAAATAAAAATTCCATCTTTTGATTTACTTAATAATGAAACATTTTATTATTTATTATCCTTATTAACATACCTGTACACCACATTCATTTAGAAGTACTAAAACCAATTGTCTTCTATTTGGATATTTTATTTTAAACTGTTCAATAAAATTGTTGGCGTACAAATTTATTAGCTTTTCAATACTTGTAGTTTTTTTATAAGACTCTGGTATATTTTTCCTATGAAACATTAAAATAATTATATAACTGGTTATCGTGAGCTGTTCTCGCTATATTTTAAACGAATACAATAGCTTATATACACGGTTTTTGCCTGTCGGTTATACGTACATATTATATTACCTAATAGTTATTACCAACCAATAACCATAACTCGTAAATAAATTCAACCCTGAAATAAACAATAAAACCACGTTTCCTACTCTACTGTAATAAGAGATAAATAATTTGAAAAAAATACTAAAAGTACCCGCAGTAAAATTGATAAAAATTTAAAAAATATCAATATACATTTTTTTGTATATAACATTCAAATAATATAATAATTATAGTACCTAACAGTGTTACTTACTCATTTAAAATACATTGATACAATGTATCTAACCATTCTAATTCGACATCCGTCAACATAGTTTTTACTGATTCCAAAACATCAGTGTAAAATTTATCGACAGTTTCGTGATTATCGTTTTCGTATTCATCATCAGTCGTTGAATCTAATTCGGACAACGTTTTGTCATGTTGATTCTTGATGTCGTTGATAATTTCATTCAGTTCTTGTGCAGTTCTTTTATCACCAATTAACAACGAACAATCGTTGTTGGAACTCGAATCGGAGTTAGTGTCTGATTTATCGTCATTATCACTATCAAACGATGTGTAGTTATCGTCTTCGTCTTCTTCAATCAACTCGGCCAGATTAGACGAGTTGTTAAAATCTCCCCATATCCAATCCAATGAATCAGAATCCATTTTACACGAACGTTGAAATCATAACAGTAATTAATTCAAGCAACAAAAAATAAAATATTTTTGTAGTTCTAGTACATTACACAATACACATACTCATAGTAACCAAGAACATCGACTAAACTGTGTTTGTTCGATAACATTTACGTCAACGCATAGGCGGATATTTGATTGAATTTTAGAGGGGCCTAAATCGTTCATTGCATTGTTGCATAATAGGTACCTATTTAATACTTTGAAAAATGTTCAATAATTTTGGGGGAACTAAGCTCCCCAAGCACTCCCAATCACTACCTATGCGTCGACGCTTCAAAAAAATATAAATATCTAGTTTAGGTACCTATCAGTAAAACAATAATATCATTGATCATATTATTAATTGCATACGATACATAATTAACCAATTTAACCGTTACTAAACACCAATAATTTTCTGGTGTTCCAGCGGGTGACTTATATGAGACAGAAATACTGCAGAATATTATGGTAGGTATACGAGTATCACCAGTTACCAAAATAGAAAATAAAGAGTACACATATCAAACTTTATGAATAAAAACAAAAATAAACATGAATAAATTGTATCCCCTTTATAATTTGTTTTTTTATTTTTTTATAATCTTACGTTTATGACCAAAATATTTTAGGTACTGGCCGAAAAAGATTCATTTTTTCTAAAATCAATTCCACTTGAGTGGAAATTTACAAATACACTAATTATATTTTTATATAATTGATAACTTATTGAAAATTAAAAGTATAAAAATAAATCGAAATTTAAAAAAAAAATATTCTAGTCTAGGAATATAAAATCAAAAATGAATAAATAAAAATAAAAATGATATTTGATAAAAATGGTGCATATAATTTTTTTCAAAAAATTTGTACACTCATACTCCAAGATCGATGTATTCCAAATCTATCTTGCCCATACTTAATTATTTCAAATTAAGCTAAAAACTTTTTTTATAAAATAATTACCTTATAATATTGGCATTTTGTAATACTGTATATTATTCTAATCTATTATTTTAACTATTATTACTTTATTAGTTTTTAGAAAACTCTAAGGATAGGTGGCGGAAGAAACGCTCACTCACTTTGCAACTTCCAAAACTATACTGAACCCCTCACCCTCACTTGATATTCTTGAGCATCCCACCACACTCTTTTATATTATAACAATTTTTGATATATTAAAATAATACTAAAACAATGTATTTACTTTGAATAACTTTATGAAATTAATTTTTGATGAATTATTTACATTGAAAAGAAAAAAATTTTATACTGTTTAAAAAAAAACCTATTGCAAGCAACAATGATTGTTTTTCTGCCCATTGTCATCAAATCCAATTAAAGTTAAAGATATTTATAGTTCAAGTTCGCATTCATAGAAATAGAATGTTTTTAAATCGTAACTATTTACAAGAGTAATGTTGAATTACATTAATGTTTTATTTATGTGTCACGACTGTCACGTTGAAAACATAAAAGAGGTTTACACTTAAATGGCCGACACAAACTTCATTATTCTTTGTCGTTAAGTGAATTGTGAGTATTCAGAAAATAGTGATTACCTTTATCGAATTTTGATCATAAAATAAATATTTTGATCGAAGGTTTTCAAAATGTATTGGTTATGTACAATTGTTAATAAACATTAAATATTCTCTTAAATTTACCCAAAAATGCCGAAACTATTAAATGTATTGTATAAAAATAAATACAAAATATATTTATTAATTATAATTTATAATTATACCATGGTACCTTACACGGTTACATCCTGCACAAAACATAGTACTTACACTGATATTAGTGTACATTTTTCTGTTGTAATAGTTATATATATATTTTATACAGGTATGTTACGTATAAGACGATGTCCATTTTAATAATTATAATTTATAACAATACAGCCATAGATCGCGATCTAAATTGTGTATAAATAGTACCTATAAACTCCATAGTATATTATACTGTTATACACTTATAAGTTATACCCAACAAACGGAGACTTCAGGGAGGGTGTAAAAATGTGGCACGTTCGTGAGTAAAAACCGCATAACGAGTCGTATTTCTACCAACAATCTAACCAGCACAAGTTTTTATGTTAGGTATATATATTATATATATATGATTATCAAAGTAATAAAATCACATAGGTACATATAATAATATTATAGAAACTATTTACCATGAAAATTGCAAAAAAATAAATTGTTGGTATTCCTTGTGAACTTGTGGTTAAACACATTGTGAAAATGTGGAATATAAATTTACTATTGTAGAGCATTTTTAGTATTAACGTATTTTTTTTAATATTTGTAAACGGTAAATCAAATATTATTAAGTGACTATTTTTTTAGGCAATAAATTCTGTAAAAAATATTTGGTAAATAGAAAATATATTAAATAAACGAGTATATTTTATTAAATAACTATTTAGGGTGAATGTAGCTATAGGTAATCTAAAAAAGTAGAGTAAGGTGAATAGGTGCAGGTTAACTTATTAAAGGTACAATATTATTCTTTTTTGGTATACGACTATTAGGATCGTATTACTGTCAAATATATTTCCTGCCACTTTCCTCTGCTCATGGGTAAATCTCGTCAATTTTCTTCAGGCTCAACCTTTTTCCACATCGCTTCTTAGTTAATATTTCCATCATTTCAAAAGATTTATATAATTTTATATATAATTTAAAAATTAAAAGTATTAATATAAATGTCATAAATCATATAAACAAACTTTGAAAAGCGCAAGAAAACAAATTGAAATTTATGATCTAAACTTGGACAAAAATAGAATAAAATGAAAATTTATGCAAAAATACTTGAAAGTAATAATAGAACCATATTTTTGTGCCATATTATTATTCGTAGTTTTTTATTTGTAAATATTATACATTATATAAAGTTATTTTAATATAAAACGTTAATGTTATAATTCGAATAATAAAAAATTGGTTATGAGCTACCATATGACTCATAACCGATTTTCAATTTCTGATTTTTTTTTTTTTCACTGTTAAATATTGGAAAAAAAAATAAACTAAAACCAAAGAAATTGTTAATAAACTTTCAACTGAAGAGAAAAAGTTTAACATCGATAGTTACTTATAAGTCATTTAATTTTTTATTCATGTGACAACTTATTATTAATGTCTTATTTAAATATCTAATAGTTAATAATTATTATTATTGAAAATATTGTTAATAAAGGAATAAAAAAATGTGCATACCTACCAGTAAAGTTTGTGTAATTTTAACTTTATCGAAATTTTAAGTCTAGTTGTACCACGGATTCATTTACCTTTGGCACATTACATTGGATTAAACGTACGATCGTACCTTATTTTCTCCATGCACGAGCATAACCGGCCAACGGCCAACTGGAGTCGTCTCTTTCTAATTTCTCACATAGTATTTGACGTCCAGTACGATATTGTTCGCCATTTTTTCAGATTGTCCATTTTACCGTATCTTCCATCCTGACATTTGTAATTATTACTATGAACGTATCAAAGTGTGTGAACGCGCGTCCCCCATACCGATCATGTCATGATTTAGAGTGTTAACTGTCAAGAGTGTCTGAGTGTCAAGTATTAACATTGATAAAAAACGATTTCGACTTGGAAAGTTGGACATTAGAAACATCATAAGTTGTGTAAAAATATAAACCATGTAACGCCATCTAGGGTATTTAAATTGTACCAATTTACGGTTCTGTTTGTCATGCTTAAAGCGTGACAGCTGTTTTCAATTTGTCATTCTACGGTAATAACACAATCAACATACTTATCAAAATTCACGTAAACATTAATAGCAAATAATAACACAATACTGATAACGTTTAAAATATGATTTCATTGCAAGTGTAAAACCGATAAATATTTTTTATTTACCGCTAACATATTTATGTATATTTGTTCTTATTGTTCTTGTTTAAGTGAATCATTTACTTTGTCTACATGTCTGGTTTTCCGTCGTCGTATTCACCAAAATCATCGCCTCGAGGTGCCAGGTCACCCGTCGTTTCCAGACAGGATTCTACGGGCACCCTCAAGACGACTATATCATTGGGCAAGAATCCATCGATTGTGCATAGTGGACCATTTTATCTTATGAAAGAACCACCATGTAAGTGTCACTGGGATGTAGGACAAGTATCTTTTATTGTACTATAATATACCATGTATGTAATGTAACAACTGTTACATATACATGTAATGTTTACTGCTATTATAATTATACTGTGCAACATTTTAATGATAATAATTAGTATTTGTAAAATTTATGATTTAGTAAATATGTATTTAAATAAATGTCATTGAACATAATACTTTTCCATTGAATAATATGAATTATCTCATGTTTTAGGTGAAAGTGAATTGACCGGGTCTGTTAATTTAATGGCCTATTATGGCCTAGAACACACATATAGTAAATTTAGTGGTAAAAGACTTAAAGAAAGCTTATCATCATTTTTACCTAATTTACCTGGTATTATTGACACCCCTGGACATAATGATCAAAGGTAATTTAAAATATTTATTAACAAATGTACCTATTTTTTTTGGATAACATTGAATTGAGTCATGCAAAAACTTTTGGGTTATTAGAGTTGAGACCTACCAATATTGTTTGTTTATTCGAGCTGAGTCCCTTTCTTTAATTGTAATAATAAGTATAAAGAGTCAATTAATTAAAAAATAATAAAATAAATAAAGATACTTTTTACTTAAAGAATAATTTTTCCCGACAGTAATAGAAAAATACTAAAAAAAAAATTGTAAATTTGTCATACCTTGTTATTTATAACAATGATGAATAAATATACTTAATATAATAATAGTTTCCTTAATTCTTCTGAAATAATAATTTTAAGGCTTTAAAATACATTATTCAGTATAATACGACAAATATGATAATATCATAAACATATAAAATGTATATATATAATTGTTTATTATTTATTAATATTTTTGTCAGATGCTATTATGCTAAATTGTGAAAACTTTAAATTCTAGATTTTAATTTTGAGATTCATTGACCTAAATTTTAATAAAAATTTGATACAAATTATTGTCCCAGTTCAAATTCATTCCTTGATTAATAGTTGATAAATGAGAATACTATATTATATTCTCTTGTTTAGCTTACATAGAAAGAAAATAAAACCTAGAGACAACTTGTACACATTTTATGATTGCATTTAATTCAAAAATATATATATTAAAATAATGATATTTATAAATATTTTTTTTTTTTATACATTTAAAATTATTTTATTCCTTTTGTTAGCCTACTCTGATGTAGGTGATTAAAATAAAGAAATACACTATACTTTGTAAGAAAACATTAGGTAATACCTAACTCAATTTTATCAATGCATATTATTCATTATCAATATATTATTATGGTATTGTGGCTTATTTATTGGAAAAATATCAGTTATTAAGTATAAAAGTTACATAGTGATAGTTATTATGCTTAATTTTAATATTGGTTAGAATTTAAATTATAAAAAAGAATTTTTAACTTTAATATATAATATTTTATAATTTAAAAATGTTTATATTTTACTGCAATAATAAAAAAAAAAATAGTTGAAAAATCTGCTTGAAGTGAGTACAGATATTAAACTATTGTTTTTTTGATTATCTTGTGATAACAATTAACTAACATTAATAATATTTATTTTTCAATCTTAATATAAGTCTATTAAATATGATACTTAAAATATTTATTTATAGTTCATTACGTTCTGTCATTGAAAAACCTCCAATTGGAGGAAAGGAAATTTTGCCATTAACAACTCATCAACTAGCTGGATTTCGATTACATCCAGGACCAGTATGTATTTTTATATTACAATAAACCTGTTGTAATATATTGTTAATATGCTAATTTTTGTGTCTTGTTAGTTGCCAGAACAGTATCGTTATGCAAATCAACCGCCTACAAAGAAACATAAAAACAAACACAAAAAAAGTAAATACAAAAGTGGTGAAGCCCTTTCTCAAGACATGGCAGCTAATGAACTAGGATTAGGTGATATTCATGAAAAGAAGCATAAAAAACAAAAACGCCACGACGACGATAAAGAACGGAAAAAACGGAAAAAGGAGAAAAAAAAGAAAAAACAAAAGCACAGTCCAGAACATCCAGGAAATATAACTCCTGGTCAACACTCGAACTGATTGAAAATTTTCCTTAAATTACATGTTTATCTTTAAATTTATTTTCATCAGTCATAAATAAATACTAATAAAATGTATATAGAATATTGTCAAATTATTAGAAATTTTTGAACGAAGTATGTATTAATAAGTATAATACAAGATTGTTGGCCACAGAAAATTGTGATGTAAAAATTAATTTTTCATTATTTGATTGGGATAGGTGAATTTTGTTTTAAATAAATAATTTTATGTGCACTAAAAATGAAATATATATTTTCTTTTTATTAACATCTATTAAAAATATATATTTCAAATAACACATCTTCTACAACATATTATATGGTTATGAAAAAATTAAAGTCAATATTATAATTTCTATGATTAAAATTATTCAGTATTGAAGTTGTCTGTGAAAATTTTACAGGTTTTAACTTACTATCCCAAATTTGTTTGTATTTATAAGAATTAAAAATTTACATGCTTTAATAAATTGTGATATTTTTAAATATACTCTGATGACTAGTTTATTTGTGACATAACTAAATAGAAAATTAAAAAAATTGCTTAGAATGTAATAAAATAGCAATGCTTCCAAACCAGTTGTTTGTCGTAGCTAAGATTTATTTCTATTTTCATCTTTTATTTTACTCAAAAAATAGTATTCAATTGACAAGCATATAATTGAACAATATAACAATATCATCTTTCCATAACTCGTAAAAGAATGTCAAGCTCAAAAATCTATACTAGAAAATTATTAATTAAAATAATGCATAGAGAAATAATTAAAAATTGATTAATTAACTGTAAAACAAAAATAATAAACACGAAAATTTTTATTTTAAAATTTGTAAAAAGTAATCCTTTTTAATATGTTAAAGATAAAATGTATGAAATCAAGGAAGTATGAGGCTCATTGAAATTGTTGAGGCATACTTAACATCAAACAGGTAGAGTATAATGGAGGATTGTAAAGTATTATGAAAAAAAGCTATAGTTCAATAAATTAACTTGCTAGCTTACCACACTTATCTATATTATAAACATACCATTTACAAAATTTCAGTTGTCACAATTTTATAAAAGAAATTATAATATATTAATTTATAGTCTTATCTTTCTCACTTTTTAGCATTTAAGATTGAAACTAAAAATTACAGCATTGATTAAAATAATTTAAAAAATAAAAATCTTCCATAATAACCCATATGGTTTTAATCATCTTACATTTGTATGTAATGAATAACAATATTTTTCATGAATTTAGAAAGATATTTTTATCAAAAATGACCACATGTCATATCATTCAGTTTAAAATAAGAATTATTTTCAACATTTTGTAAAATATTAAACAATCTTTACTAGGACAAACTTAGAACAAGTAATAACATAATAGATTTCTTTTCATTATGAAATGAAAATAACCTTAAATTTTGAAAGCATATACCATATGTTAACCGATTTAAGGAACACTGAATTTCTCAGCCAAATTATATTGGAATAAATTAAATTTTTTTTACAAGCTACCTGTGGTGTATAAAATATAAATATAGATTTAGAGATACATTTCAAAATTTTTATCATTTCATTATGTACACGCTCAATATAACAAGTCTTTTTTAAATAATTTTGATGTATCAACTATGGTTCTAAATAAAAAATTGGCTGAGTAAAAGCCATTTTAATTTTAATAAATAATATATTTTCAGGATTCATTTAATTGCATAAAACCATTTACAATTATATATTATTGGTTACTTTAACATACATTTTTTTTTTTTTAATAATATTAATAAAATTAAAATAATATGGATATACCATTATTTAATAAATATTGATTACAATAGTCATTCTTTAATTATACAATTAATTAAATAAATTGTTCAAAGTTTACTCCATTATTTTGGACAAATAATTAAAAACGTTATAATACATCTTCTATTGGTTACTGAATATTACATGCAACCTCAATTTTATTTTTTAAATCTGATAGATTAATTGGTGGATCAATGTAAAATAGTTTTCAAATGTCGCTTTAAAAAAAATTAAGTAAAAGTATTCAAAAAGTAAGCAATAATAAATAATTATTAATGGGTTTATATACTTAAATAAATCGTAAAAATGTATTTTTTATTAAAATTGAAATAGCTTTTATTCAATTTATAATTTAGATCCATAGTTAATACATCAAAATTATCTTAAAAAATTAAACTTTTGAATAAGGTTCAAAAAATAGGTTTTGCTATTTAAAAAAATACAAGTCTTAGTGCACACATGCATATTGAAAAGATAAACTTTTTAAATGTATCTATAAAAAAAATGTATATTTATATACCACTAACTTGTAGAAAAAATTTGATTTATTCAAATATAGCTCAGCCGAGAAATTCAGTGTTTTCTAAATTGGTGAACACACGATAAATAATTAATATATTATTGAATAATATACAATGTATATTGTTTTCTAAGAATATTTTTTATTTAAATATTTAAATTCTTCAGCGCATATTCTTATACACTACCAATAAGTAAAATGTTATAAAAAAAAATGGTAAACTTTTAAAATAATTGATTAATAACCAAAAAATTCTGCTTTATTACTTAATTGCATAATATTCATATTCCTATTATAAAATGTTATGGTTCAGTAAAAAAAATAGTAACAACACAAATTTAATATACAATTTTAAACATGTATGTGTTAATTAGTATTTTAAATAAAATTAAAATAATTTATTTTTTCTCTATTATAATAAAAATAACAAATTAACTTAAAAATAAAACTGGAAATAACCAGTTGTCATATTTTTTACTCCAATTGTTGATTAGGTGTTATGATGTACTGCTCAAATGGATTGGGGACTTCAGGAACATGACTTAGCTCCCATGACCCACCATATGTTGTAATCTGACCAAGATTGCACAAACTTTAAAACATAATACAATTTATAAATTAATTTTATATTTTTCTTAATCTGGATAAAAATTATATTATATAAATTTACACTAACATGTTTCCAATTTTTCTTATGTCTGGATTAAACCAATAGTCTCCCATTGTATCAACTATATGTTGAAGTGGCACCAATACCTTTTTATTTTTTGTAAAGTTAGATATTATTTTGTTAATTGCATCAGCAGAGTTTGAAATAGGCATTCTGAGTTGGTCTCCGTGATTTTTTTCAATATGTTGATGTATCAATCTTTCACATACGTAATCACAAAATGGACAAAATTTTGGAATCTGAAAAGTGAATATCAAATAATAAGTTTTTTCATTAAAATTAACTACAAAACATGAATACTTTGTTTAAAACACCCAATTTCAATTTTTCAGAAGTCAGCATCGACTTGAATTTACTCTTGGGAACTGAGGCGATAGGCTGGGAAGGTAGTTCTGATATCAACTCACATTCTATGAATAAAAATATTAAATAAATGAATAAATCTGTTACATTTATAAAAAATACAGCTAAGTTACCTATGTTGGTTTGTTTAGATACTGATGATGGAAACAATCCTTTTATTGGCGTAACTGGTACATAATAATATAAAAACTTTGTAAAAAAAATGGTATTATTAAATTAACTAAATATTTTTCTTACGAGGTTCCAGATCAAAATGCAATTTTTGACGCTCTGAGCCAGCAATTGGTGTTGAAGTTGATCTTTGTTTAATCAGTTGTGGTAGCGGTGAATTAAATTTGGACTTCAATGATGAAAATAATGTAAGGTAACTGGGCAATGCAGAAGGTACTACTTTGAAACCAATCAGACATGAAAAATAAAATAAAAATAAGAATAACATAATGATTTTTAATTTTATTGTGCAACACATTTACCACCAACAAACTTTTCAATTTTGGAAATAATAGTACCACCAGTATTAAGAGATTTCTTAATATTTTAGTATGATACACTTAAGTTAAGTTTAATTGTTATCCATAAGAAATTATAGGTCCTTTAATCATAATTGCTTGGTGTTTTAATGGAATCTAATTTAGGAAGACAATTTGAATTTTAAACTAATTCAATGAAAGCCAATTAATACTTCAATATTCATAAACATTCAGAAGTATAATAATTGATAAGAGAAATTTAGTGTGTAAATATGCTCTGTTAAGTACATGACAAGTAATAGTGCATAACAAGCACATTTATGTACAATTTACTAGACACCAACTTTAAATTAAAATAATCTACTATTCAATATTAGTAGATTCAAATTTATAAGATCTACAGTTAATGAAGTAGACAAATAATTTTCTTCAGAATATAGATTGCTATATTTTAAAATTATCAATTAATATATAATTATTATAACTAAAAATAACCTATACTCCAACTTTACCTTCCATACAATATGGATGGGTAGAAACGGGTTGTAATTGTTTTTCCTTTTTTTCTATAATTTTGTCATTTATTGCAGGTACTTGTGAAATAGTTGTAATTGCATGGGGTTTGACATCAGTGGTTAAATACTTTCTCTTCTTTGATAATATTTTATCTAAGAAACAAAGTAAATAAAATATATTAATCTAGACATCATGCATATGATCATGTGTTGTCTAAATCTCATTAATATTTTTTTATGTTGTTTCGATGGTTAAGTGAGTTACTATATTTAAAATATTAAAGTTTTCATGTTTGTTTATGTATTATGTTTAATATTCATTTAATATCATATAAAAATAAGTATTATTAAAAAAAATATTTAAAATCTAAATCTGAATCATATTATATTATGAACAAAAACTTGTAATAGTATTTTTTTAACATTATATTTATCTATATGAAATATATTTTTGTATAATATAATACAAAATATTATAATATGTATATTATAAATAATAAAATGTAAATTTAATATGTTAGTATTGTATTTAACTCGCTGCACTCACCATAAGCTATGCTTTTGGGGCGGCGTTATTAATTGTTTTATTTTAATTTTGTTATCTTTACGTAAAATATAATTTTTTAACAATAATTTTACTTTGAATATTAACACAATAATTTCTTAAATATTACCTTCATCGATTTCATCTGGATTTGAACAAATTTCTTTTCTCTTTTTATTATTTTTTTGTTTTGGAACAGCAGAGTTAGGAAATCCTGTTAAAAAAGTTGAAATCTTATTTTTCATTTTTGATACTTTGTAAAAACTGAAAACAAAAACAATATACTATATTAATACTATTAACTTAAAATATATTAGTACAATATTTTTAAACAACGTGATTTACCAATCTATTTACAGGAATTTGATATTTATACTTAATGTTTAATGATGTTCAAACATGTTAAGAAGCAAATATTTAGGCTCTTTTTAATAAAGGAAAGCAATAAATAAAAATAGATAGTGAAATACTGTGTACTAAGCACTCTATTGGCTAATAAATAAGCAAGCCGGAACTCGGAAGACGATAACTAAAATCTGAATTTATACATTTAACTATTTAAGTAACGACTGCAGAAAAACCGTGCAAATCGATGATTGGATGACCACTGGGCACTGGCCACTGAGCGAGTACTGAGAAATGAGAAGTGAGAAAAAACAACTGATTACATTATTATAGTCATTGGTGTAGGGGCATGAGTAGAGTCAGTATGCCTGTCATATATGACATATTTATTAAGTAGTGTAACAGACAACTGATTATTTTAGAATGGTGTATATTATTATTTACCAACTATAAATAAATTAGTAATTTCCATTATCCAAATTTCATGAAAATAATAGTATGTAATATGTATGTATAAACTATAAATAGACGAGGGTTTTAACGTTGCATTCAAATATTATGTTGTCATTTGTCTCCGTTATACTTCTCCGTGTAATTAAAGTAATAAAACATCAACAAAATCGTATGCATTTTAAATGCTTAAAATTTCTTATAACATTAAAATATAAAAAAGCCTAAGGGGAAGTCCTGAATTTGTCTATTCGTAAAATTTTCAAGTTATGGCGGAGGCGGTCTATATTTTCATAAAGTCTATATTATCGATATGAATTTTGAATTTTAAATTTTAAATTATTTAAGTAAGCACTCAAAGCACTTAAAAATCATTATAAAATAGTTAAATAATAAAAAATATTATAATACGAAAAAAGAACTTCTCTCGAGGCTCAAGCATAATAATTCATATTCTCCAATCTCCTCTCAAATTCAGTGGATAAACAATGTATAAATTTGTTCTATATTTATAACTTTAATATTAACTGTAAATGTATTATATTATAATTTATAACTTAATAACTGTCTTCTATTATAATAACAAGGTCTACAAGCTGTAAGATACTAAGTGAAGCTGTGAATTCAGAGAAACGTAAGTATCGGTCTTACAATGTACGATTTTTTTATTATGTGCTGAATACACCTTTTATAACAGAAAAAATGTATCGTCTTAAACTTTGAGTTTGTCAAAAAAATGGATCTATAATTGGTACTGAACAGTTTGAGCAGGCGAAAGTAAAATTTTTCTCGGTATTCTTAATAATAATCGGAATTCGGTTATCAATATCCGTCTCTTCTAAACTTTGATTACCTAATTAAATTTAAATATTATTTTCCATCTTTAACGTTAAGTATTAAATGTTTCTTAACAGTCCTTTCAAAAGAGGTAGCTATCCACAAATTCAAAATCTGCCAGACACCTCAAGAATGAAGAAAGAAACAACACCACTCTACTCACCTCACTTAGACAAAATAAAAACAGGTTTCTCCACTTCAAAACATTGATAATGAAATACTACAAAACGCTAAACAAACAACACTGCTCAAAATGCGTGACGTACCTAGGCCTCTTTTACGGTGGGAGGGGGGAGAAAATATATTTTCACTCATTCTTAAAATAGAAAATTTCTTAAAAATGTACGTCCTAACCTAACGGGAATTTTATATTTGTAAAATATTTAAAAAAACATTTTAATAAGGACATATATAGAAATTGTTGAAATATAAATAAAATGCGTGTCGTAAAATTATTTTTAATAAATTTAATTATAATACAAAGTCTAGCCTTCTGTTTTTCATACGAGAAAATCGTTTAAAAATTTCATCCACTGGTATACTTTTTCTTGATAAATGTGCAATAGTCCAAACCCGCATAGCGATCCTGGTCCATTTTTAAACGTAGCTATGTTTTTACTGTTTTTAGTCTACTGCACAAACATAAAATAAATCAAGCAGTAAATATAAATAATTTAAAATCAATAGGCAGGTACTAGTGTACTACCTATATTTATAAGCCAATTAAGTAGATTATTAATTGTATGTTAATAAATAATAATATATTCTGTTAATATTCTGTAAAAAAAAAAAAATATACAACAATGCACACATATAATTAAACGATTTACATGAGCGAGGGAGGGCGAATATAATTTTTGCCATCTCCGCAGGTACGCCACTACTAAGATGCACAGGCTAACCCAAAAATACCACTATTTACTTTTTAATATTACAAATTACACAACCTTTCATGATCCATTATCAAATCAAACTTTCGACGACTTAACAATTACGCACTAAAATGAGTAAAAATTCATTAAGTATAAAAAATTAAATCTAACTTCAATCGACAATTATAGAACAATTTATTACATAATTATTTTAGGAAAACACTTCCACGACTAATAAACACATTCGTTTTTCAACTTATGCAGAAAATAATAGAAAATCTGCCAGTCATCATAAATAGCCTTAATTTAAACTCAAATGGCTCTCCATAATACAATATTATTAAATTAGAACGTCAACGGACTTAAAAATCAAAGAAATGCTTTATTAGCTTTTCTTAACCATTAACAACGTAGATACCCGAGTTTAATCGAAATCCATTTATCATATACAAACAAAATCAAATTCCCTGGTTATAAAATACACCGCGTTGATCGGGTCACTCACCTACGTGCTTGGGCAATGTAGCTATATTGGTCCGTAATAAAATCATTCAACAACAATATCCTTTTAAGTTTTAATCGGTCTATAAAGTCTGGAAGCCGTAGTAGTTATGATAAATATAAATAATAGGTCGATTATACTTGTAATTTCTTTATGTTATGCTCGTGCTTATCAACTATCCAGTCGCAATATTATGTATATATTGTATATAACAGACTACGGTAATATTACGAGTCTGGATACATGGGCGGATATTTGATTGATTTTTAGGGAGGGAGGCTTAAATCACATTAAATAATATTTATCAAAGTTTGATTATCGGAAATTTCTATTTTTGTCATTGTGATAATGTGATAAAAATCCGTGGTAAATGGTAAAAAAAATCCCTGGTAAAAATTAAAAACGTCTCCGAAAAAAATTTCCCCTGAAAAATGTATCCATTAATAAAATTAAATAAAAAACATAATTGAAATTAATTCTTCAAATAATTACTAATTATTACTTTCATACAAGTTTTTCTTATTTAAGTCCAATAGTTCATAAATTTAAAGTTACGATGGTATTCAATTACGTTCAATTACGAAATAAATATTTTTACTTTATCTAATAGGAACCTATGGGTACCTAAATGTGAAAAAACAATACTTATCTGTATAAACGGCATCTAACGATTATAAAAATAATATAATTTTACGTTTGTCGATAAATAAAATTGAAGATATTGATATGTTTACTGTTTTTACGTTATTCCTCTGTGGCTCTGTGTTCGATCTTTGTAATACAATATACATGTAATTCCTTGTTAGTTATTAGTGTTATTACCTACCTGTAATTTGTTTTCTGTTCCTTGATCAAGAATGGAAATATTAAAATCGAATAAAAATAACGAAAAAGTTGCTTTAGTATACTATAAACAGAAATTTAAGCAGTTTATTCGATGGAAATGCATGAAAAGTAGTTTATTTAATTGTCGACTGTCCATGTATATTAAAATCAACAAATAAAAAAAAGAGTCCTAGGTGTTCATCACGAGCATTACCATAACATATAAAATAATATAAAATATAACATATTTACATGTGAAACGTATTTAGTGAATTGAATGTTAATAAATTTGTTTTTCCAAAGACTTTTTTTCCGGCAATCCAATCTGTCGCTACGGTCGTTTGGTGTGGGCCGATGAAGAGTATAATAATAATTATTATATTGACATTTCATGGAAAAAAATAGTTTGTCAAGTTCCAAGATTTGGGCCATATTTTTATACATTTAATATTTTGAGAAATGTTTAATAATTTGGGTCGGCAGGGGCGTATTTAAGGACTATGAATATTATGAATAATGATAATATTTATTGAGATGAAAAATATGTGATATTTCATATATCCCATTACGCTAATTTGAATTTTGAACTTTTTATTTGTATCCTCCCCATAAGAAATTTCTAAATACGCCCCTGTGGGGGGGCTAAGTAATCCAAACTCGCTCAATTGCCACCTTTGTCTGAATAATTCAATCATACTGGCCGGTGCATGGGCGTGTTAAAGGGGTATTTAGCTCGAGCGAAAGTTTTTTGGGGGTGGTAAATTTTTTGTGTAATTTATTATTTATTAGTTAATGAAATATAAATATTCTATCTTCTAGTACCATTAAAAAAAAAAAAATCATTGTTCCAAATAGATGATTACTAATTAACATAAAAAGAAAATTTTTACGTAGCTATAATATTTATATGAAATGGAAATGACTAACTGAAATACCGAGCGTAGCGAAGACAATTTTTTTAAATTGTTCATATTTTCATAAAAATATTCATAAAATATACCAATGGCGCAAAATAATTTTGCACCCCCATACATTAACCTTTAATGCGCCCCTTGGCCGGTGATTTTAACTATAAAAAAATTTAATTTAGGTTGTTGTGTACACAACCCAAACGATATCAAAACTATACATATAATTATTTTTTTCAAACACACCTTTTAATATCTGCACCAGATATCCAACTTACTTCCCTACGGATCGAAGTAGACAACCTATCATTCTAGATATTTTATTATAAAAAAAAAATAAATAATTAAATCGATTTAATTTACATGTATGCAAAAACCTCTTGCAGGGCTTGATTCAAACCACACTACTGTTCACTGACTCCTGTAAAAATATCAATTAATCGCCACAACGTTATCAGTTTAACAACTCATTAATTAAAGGTAAACCAAACTTAGCTTCATTCTCTAATCAAATTTTACTAACTTAAATACAAAATAATATACATTCTATTCAAGTTGCTGAACAAACAGCTCGCGGCCGAACATCTAACTACAGTCATTACTGAAACCGTCCAAGCCTGCTTTCTTCCACACCACGTAATAAAATACAAAATATCGAAATTTTACCACACATAATATATCGTCTTTAATTAGACCAAAACATATTGTTAGACTAAACTGGCGAAGCCAAAAAAACCAGGAAAATAAAGAATGATTAAATCAACTCACTGAAGACGTAAATACAGCGTTAAGTTACCATCGTGTATCGTCTCCTAATAATTATTTATTAAATATACACCCAGGTGATTCTAATCTATCTATTCTAATCTAATTTCAGTATACTGAATTACGCATGAAGAATCTTATACTAAAATTTCTAACTTAAGTACAAAAATTGAAGTTTTTATGATTTTTTTACTACAAAATAGTTTGAAACAT